ACGCGACTGTTGACAGTAAAGCGACGAGATGCCCTTCACGACTACTCTACAACACGCTCCAAGAGACTCTGCCATGCACGACGCGTCCCATCCCTCCAGAGACCACCGGAGCGCGTACTTGTTGTTCAGAGACTGCAGCTGGATTTCCAGGTCTCAGGCCTCGCCCACAATGTGCCCCCCCCCCCTTCTCAAGGCCCCAGCCCAGCATGGCCATCGTTCGTTGACTTGACACCGCTGCAGAATCTGACCTTCACGACCCTCCCCTTCCAAAGACAGCCAGCCCCAGTATCGGTCTCCTCCCAGGTACCACAATTCCGACTCCACCATTGGCCACACCTCAGCTGCCAATCCAAGCGCCGACACTGTCCAGACGTCGCACCCGGAAACGCTCTTCCATCGAAGAAAGCCGAGATCCGTAGTACTCAGTCCTAGCACTTGGCTTTTCCTCCGCTGAGCCTCACGCCAGCTCCTTGTATCGGTATCCACCCTCCCCAGACGTGGCCGATGTAGATGGTCCTGTTAAGCGCCCACGCTCCACCACCAACAGGCCCTATTAGCTCTGATGAACCCGGCCCCTGCCAAAAGCACCAAATATAGCCTCAAACGGGATTTCCTCGAGGACGAAACCGGAAAGAAAAATGACCGTTAATCTGTCTCAATGGGGAAATCTTGAACTGTCAAACGCTTGCTGGGGGCACATTTGCTTCATTCAGCGCCCCAGATGAGGCTCTTACGGCATGTTGGCGCCATGCTCGACTCTCCACATCTCGGGCTTTCACGACCCTTGCTGTTCGCTGCTCAGGCTGCTGCGCCATGATCTACGCGCCCATGTCCATCAGAGGAGCCTTTTGACTTTGAATTCCGGAAGCTTCCGTCGGCCATGTTTGCGAAATCATCATCAGCATCCCCTTGCAGAACTACGGTGGAGAAAGCTACTTCCCCTGGAGTAGTTGCATCTCCACATTCACGTTCCACCACTTCTTCCAGTCGACCACCTGCCGCTTTGTACGAGCCTCTTCGGCTGCAAATACCATGGCGTGGCTTCGGAACGCTTCGTCGAGGTCGCAGCCGAGGAATTCGCCCTGGGCATCTGCCGCAGACATGGTGCCAGAGTTGACAGCGTCGACGGCCAAGAGGAATTGTCTCGCGAGCCCTTCGTCTCCTCCGCCATGGCCTCCACTGGCTATGTGTGGGTTGTGCGTTACCGTGTGGCCTGTAGCAAAGTTGTGCACTTTGATGCATGTGCTGTCGTACTCAATCTCGCCATGCGTGCCGTAGATCCGACCTCGTCGTTCGCAGATCTTCTCGGTGAAGGCGACCATGTGGAACTGTGCCGTCTTTGCAGCTCGTCCTTGGAGTAGGGGAGAGCCGTCGGAGTCCTTGTCAATGGGGTCGTCGTCCCAGTCAATGGTCACATACTGATCATCGCAGACGTCATTGTCTGCCTCCCAGACGCAGCGCCCGAACCATGGCCGGGCCTCGACGTCGCTGGCTGGTGTCTCACTGGTATAGTCCTCAGCAAGGGCTTGCAACAGCCGGTTTGCCGCCGCCTCCTTCCCATTCGTCTTGTAAATGTCCTCAATCTCAGGATCCACAATCTTGACCGGCCAATCTGTATTACCAGACTCGAGGTGGCGCTCCAAGTAGATCTTCTTCGCACTGTAATCGCAATCCCCTTCATGTACACAATTCAAACAATTCGTAGCTTTGCCCGCAGCCTTTGGCTTCCTCGCCTTGCGGAACAACTTCCTCGACCCCGTCGAAGTGAGGAACGATGGCAGATGCGGTTTCTTACTCTTCGCCCCTGGCGCAGGCGAGCACAACATCCACAGTAAAAAGTCAATATCGTGACAAGACTTTGTGAGCAGCGAGGGTCCCGTCTTGCTCTCTTTTCTCCAGTTCCCGCGCACATAGCTATGGCTCCAATGCCACCATCCAACAGGCTCAACATGTTCCATACTCAAGACATCCCCAACCACCTGCTCCTCGCGCACCAGATATCTTCATTACGAGAACAACCAACATAAAGGCCAGACACATGGACTTT